AGTTATGTATTGTTTACTTTGAAACAAAAGTCATATAAATGCATAACATAATTGGAGAAAGAGTGAAAACAATAGATAAACTATAGTGGAAACCTGATTTCCCTTCCATTTTAAAATAGGCATTGCATTGTATTAGGCAAATAGCCCCGAGACAAATGGTGAGGTGGTATATGGTCTTGGTAGGCAACCAGCTATTCTACATACTATTAGCCAGAGACTAATCAGGTAGCTACCTATACATTTCCGTTATGCATTGAGATATGTTATTATAATTTTTACTATATTGTGCATGTGGTTATGATAGTCATTATCTAATATGTTCTCTTGTGCAGAGAGTTTAGTGACACTATTAATGGATTCAATGATGATGGCTGGTCGATATTGAACTGTGACGATGCTCAAGATATTGCAGTTGCTGTTAATTCATCCAAGAACTTGAGCACTAATACAAATACAGTTTTCTTCGTTGGACGTATTCTCCAGGTGAAGGCTTCTATGCTACTCCAGGTGATTCTTGATCATATTTCCTAACTTAATACTGAGCCTTTTGACTTGGTACTCTATTCGTTTGTCCAAAAGCTTCATCAATGTAAAATGCTTCTTCTTGTTTCTTACTAACAACTAATTTAACTATCCAGTTCCAAGTGTAAAAACTGACTGACTAGCACCTGGTGGGGTCTCACATTTATTAAACTTCATATGTGGTTCTAATTCATGTTTAAAACGTCCAGTTTGGAAAGTGTTGTAGAATGCTCAATTAAGCCCTTGTAAATTGAACATTAAGTCTTCAGAAATGGTACCGAAAGCGTTAAGTCTGTTTAAAATAAAATGTGAGGAAGCTCTCAAGTTATAAGCCTGGGGTTTGTTCTACCTTCATTTACTATGTTCAATAGGGGAGCTCCTGTTCTATTTTTCTTAGGTTCACTCGGTCACATTCTATTATTTTGCAGAAGATTAGAGTTTCTTTCTATGTTTTGAGATAGGGTGCCTCTTCTATTAGACCTTAAGTAAGTTTTCTTATTTACATTATGCTATTCCATTTGTACAGATGGTAGAAGGGCACATTCAATCATTCTTTTTCTATTAGTTTTCACTTTGGTTTTTGCTTAGTCCAGCTTGATCTAGCCAAAAAACTTCAGTTTTTTGCTACATTTTTGCTTCTGTGTTGCTTTCTTTGTTACTTTCTTCACTTTTATTTAACTTAAATTTTGCTTCTTCTGTNCTAACCAAAAAACTTCAGTTTTTTGCTACATTTTTGCTACTGTGTTGCTTTCTTTGTTACTTTCTTCACTTTTGCTCCACTTAAATTTTGCTTCTTCTGTATGATATGTGGAACTTTTGTTAGGTTATTCTTTATTTACCTCAATTTACTCCAGAAGCTTTAGTTCTTGCTTCATATGTGTTATTTTGCTCCATCTCTGTCTTTGATGCTTTTACGAGGAATACAACATATTTTTTTTTTTAGCTCATGAGTTGGGATTCCTTATTTCTATCGGCGTTTTTAGTTTTGGCTTTCAACATTTTACTTTCATCCAGCTGACTAGCTTCATTTTTTATTCAATTTTTGCTATGTTGTATATGTCTTTTATTTTATGCAGCTTTAGTTAAGGTGTGTTTTTTAATTCTTGCACTTTCATTGGTTTTTCCTATGATAAATTATTCTTCATTTAATTATGCATAAACTCAACTGCATTTCAGTAAATTAACGACAATCTAAATCAAATTTTTTCTCTTTCCAAAATAGCTATGTATCCACATCTAATTCTGTCATTTCTATATGCACAGATGGATAAACTCCATGTTTTGTTCTAAGGATGTTAGCATCAATGGCTACTCATTATGGTCCTAATGAGGCTAAGAAGTTCTTCTCATTAGCATGAAAGGTATATTATGCAAACATTTTAACTTTAAGACTCTTATTTAAAATGCTTTATATAGTAGGTTATTATTTACTTTTGAGGAAATAACTTCAGCCTCCTTGTGAACCTTGTTCGAATATATTATATTTTCTGTCAATTAACACCTATGAAATTGATTGGAGAAAACTTTTCTTAAATATTCCGATTATATAAATATATTTATCTGGCTTGAGTTTGGTACATATTGATCTAGAGATATTATAAGTTCATTAACTAATCCAGTCCTTCCAACAGAGGCGCACAACGCTTATATCAATCAATCGGTTGCATGAGATACACATTCTTATATTCTTTTTAGCAGTTCTTCATGTGATTTATAGTGCTGTTACTAGGGCACTTGAAAGAATGAAGGTAATAGAGAATGGTTTAATCATTTATGCACTTTGCCAATAGTTCTTAAACATGAGAAAACAATTGTTCGTGTTACTGCTTTTATTCTACTTAGGGTAGTGCTTTGTTTCTCTCTTATTTTATGTTCCAGACTTAATAGGCTTGCTATTTCTTTCATTTCAGGAGCACAAATTCTTAACTGGGCTCATTTTAATGGTTCCTGTT